CACTGGATGGTATGTAACATAGTCCACACTGGATGTATGTAACATAGTCCCCACAGGATGGTATGTAACATAGTCCACACTGGATGGTATGTAACATAGTCCACACTGGGGATGGTATGTAACATAGTCCACACTGGGGATGGTATGTAACATAGTCCACACTGGATGGTATGTAACATAGTCCACACTGGGGATGGTATGTAACATAGTCCCCACTGGATGGTATGTAACATAGTCCACACTAGATGTATGTAACATAGTCCACACTGGATGGTATGTAACATAGTCCACACTGGATGGTATGTAACATAGTCCACACTGGATGGTATGTAACATAGTCCACACTGGATGGTATGTAACATAGTCCACACTGGATGGTATGTAACAGTCCACACTGGATGGTATGTAACATAGTCTACACTGGATGGTATGTAACATAGTCCACACTGGATGGTATGTAACATAGTCCACACTGGATGGTATGTAACATAGTCCACACTGGGGATGGTATGTAACATAGTCCACACTGGATGGTATGTACATGTAACATAGTCCACACTGGATGGTATGTAACATAGTCCACACTGGATGGTATGTAACATAGTCCACAATGGATGGTAGTATAGTATATTTTATTTGGCACGAAATAATGCATTGAATTACATTATCAATGGTCAATATGTAACATAGTCCACACTGGATGGTATGTAACATAGTCCACACTTGATGGTATGTAACATAGTCCCCACTGGATGGTATGTAACATAGTCCACACTGGATGTATGTAACATAGTCCACACTGGATGGTATGTAACATAGTACACACTGGATGGTATGTAACATAGTCCACACTGTAATTACATATTAACATAAGATACAAAGCAGTATAGCAGCTGTTAATTAACTTGTCAGACACCTTGACCCATCTCCACTAATATTTCCCCTCCCCTTATTTGGTCATGGTTCACATGATTCCTGTTTGACAGAGTATTTAAGTATTTAAACTGCAATGTAACAATGCCATGACATAGACAGTAGGCTTTATCTAACCAGGATGTTCTATAAACATCCAAGGTACATTGTATACTGATAAAACATCCTGCATAATTAAATAACCACAGCCCTGCATGCCTGCCTGACTCACTGTATGTAATTCTGTCTCTGATGTGAATCATGATTTATTTGTTGTTGCACCTACCAATCAACTTGAAAGTGCTCACACAGTCATAGTTGAATGGCACAGTAGTGTTTAGAGGGACACACCTATTTGACCAACTCTGTGTATTTAAATCTCTGTCATACTCAGGTAGCATGGCAAGGTATGTCCACTACTTTTTTCTGCTGTCATATTCTGTTTAAAATTTTAACTTTAAACTTTTTTTTATTTATTTCTGACAAATCTACAAATTTTGCAAGTCAGGGAATTTATCTTGAAATTTTATTTTTATAACAGCGAACTTGTGATTGAGGTTCTTAAGAGTGTGTTACAGTGTCTTTCACTAGAGACGTACCTCAAGAGTGTGTCATAGTGACTTTCACTAGGATCCTCAAGACAACTTAATTTAATAAATCTGATATCATGGGTTATGATTTTTGATATTCTAACATTATGTGTTTCATAGTTATTTCATTACCAGAAACTAACATCATAATTCTGTTAGCACAAATCCTTTCATTTGCATATAGCTTCTGGTGTTCCTTGAACAGAATTTTACTGTCAGTGTATCACCAATTTTTTTTTTTTGGAGTCTTCAATATAATTAGTCATAGCTACACATTGTCTTCACACATTTCACAAAAAGTTGGTCAATGGGAGAAATGAATTCTGTGTATTGCCATGATGGTGTTAGATATGACGAAACAAGCATGGACTATCTTCATTTTATATCATTTGCCAAGTCCAAAACACTGCGAATTTATATA